TGGTGGGAAGACAAGGGAGGGAGGGAGAGAGAGTGGGAAGACAGGGGAGAGAGAGAGAGAGAGAGAGAGAGAGAGAGAGAGAGAGAGCTTGCAGCGACAATGGCGGGAAGACAGGGCAAAGAGAGATCGAGAAAGCGAGAGAACTGTTGCAGTGGTGGCGGGAAGACAGGGTGGAGAGAGAGAGAGAGAGAGAACCGTCGTGGCGGTGGCGGCCAGAAGACAGGGTAGAGAGAGAGAGAGAGAGCGAGAGCTGCGGTGGCGGAAGACAGGACAAAGAGAGAGCGAGAGAGAGAGAGAAGAACCACCGCCGCAAGAGAGAGAAACAGAGAGAGTGCAGCAACGGTGGAGCTTCATTAGTTCATAGTGAGGGTTCAATTGGATTTACAAGAAGGATAAAAATATGTAATATTTAAATTTTTTTAAGGATATTTATGTCTTTTATGCACCTCTGAATCAGGTCTGAACACATTAAGCAGCTTCTCCATCTCTAAGAAATTAAGATCTGAAGTCCAATTTCAAATCTGTAATAAGAGGTAATAACAAACAAAGCAAGGTGTCTGAAAAGCAAATTTTTCATATTCAGACATTTAAAAAGTGCAACCAAACGCCGCCTAAATTTCTTCATGGACCAAGGATAACACAATTGCCCAACCATGTTATATCTTGCTTATTCTTCTCAGCAGTCGGGTCTCTTTTCTTTCCTATTCATTTATCTTTTTACTTATCTATGAAGAGACCACATCTCCGCCCCACAACATCGGGAGATGCTCTCAATTCACGGCGAGGATGTGCTGTGGGGTGGGACGTTGTGGGGCGGAGATGTGAACTCATATATGAAATGCTATTTTGTCTAAAGAAGAGGGCAAAGATCTATTTAACGGAATGAATTGCCCACTACTAAGATAGTCAGTCAGTGTCCCTCCAAAACTAAAGGTGTTTAAGGATGCAAGTTGGGTTAGGGGTGATCATGGGTCTGGGCCAGTAAGGTTCAAAGTACCATACGTAACGCCCAGTATCAAGCAAGCACATTGTATCTTTAAGTTTTCGATACACCTATTTAAAGGTGTCGTCAGAAAAAAAAAAAGAAAAAAAAAACTGATGTTTTTTATTAATTAAACAATGTAAAAATATGTGTAAAACTGAAATTTAAAAGATAAAAAAAAATAAAAAATCGTGGGGTAAGAAGTATTGATCCCTTGTATATAACATTTTTTTAAGCCATATAACATATGGCATGTAATATACATAGGTGTATTTTTCAGTGTGGGTTGTGTGAATCATGTTTAAATTACATATACATAAATATGTGTGGGCCGATCTGGACCCGAAGTGTTTGGCCTAGACCCAACCCTAAAATTTACAGGCCAAATGCAAGTTCATCCCTACGTTGGGCTTCAACATAAAATCGGGCCCAAAGTCAGAATTTTTTTAGGCCAAGCTGGGCGGGGCAGGTCCTAGTCGAACTGAGTTGAAATTTGAAAATGATCGCCACTAGTTGGGTTAGGTTAGATGAGGTTGGCCTGTTGACATCAACCCTAACCTAAACCAAGAGGTTCTAAACCCTCGAACCCAAACTTGGACTTCAATCTGACGCAATCAACCTTTAACTCCAATCTAATGCATAAATGGCTAGTGGCCCTACTGGCCATAGTGCTGCTTAAGGATGTTAATGGGTCAGGTTAAATGGTATATTCAGATTTAGGGTCGGCTTAGGATTTTATTCTTTGACCTAAGTCGGGTTTAGATTTTGGCTGACCTGTGTTTATCGGGTCATGATACCCCTGAATGAATGAAGTATTCTTGTAATTTTTTGACTTCTAACTCTATAATATTAAAATTTATTATTTATTTATATGTTAATTTTAGTTTTTTTTCTTTTTTTAAATAGAAAAAATGATACCTTATAATCTATGAAATAATTTCTTAACTTAAATTAATAGATTTTAAATCTTAAAAATGTGTTAAAAAATACATTTGAAATGCTAATGGTCGAACAGATATCAATTAGACCCTATAGGGTTGGATGAGGTTAGGAAAACATGTATTTTAAACCGGGTCGGGTCGGGTTCGGCTTGGTGCTGGAAGGTCGGGTTAGGGTTAAGGCAAACCATGCCGAACCCGATCCGTTGACATGTTGCTGCTGTTAGAATTCTGAATTCCTTTCAACGACCGCACTAGATTTGGGTCCCACAAAGCGGTATACCTAAACATGCCATGCCACGATGGCGCCGACAGCAGCCTCTTCGTTAAAAAGAGATCGACTAATCGCTAAATTTCTTGCACGAAATAGGGTTCCTTTTTGGTTTCCCTTCTCCTTCTCCCCTCTCTCCAGTGGACGAAACCACTCGGTCTCTTTCTCTCTCAATCTCGCTATCGAAGGACCCCCAGAAGCTGTCGATCTCGTACTTTGGTAAAATTTCGTTTTCTTCGTTATATTTTGTTCAACTCGATCTGAGCTTCTCTTCTCGTGCAAGTGAAGATCTTTCTTCCTGTTGAAAGATCTCTGATTCGAATTGATCAGCACTTTTCTTTCATAGACTAAATATTCTTTTCTAAGATAGTTCTGTTCTTTTTAATTACGTTTATGCTTTCTTTTGGGCGTTCGATGATTTTCTTTCTGGTCAATTTAATTCAGTTTATTTTATTCTGCTAATTGATAATTTTTTCTTCTAATTTAAGGGTTTAGTTCGATTTGGATAGAAGATGGGAGCCTTTATATCAAGATTCTGGTTCATGTTATTTCCTGCGAAGGAATATAAGATAGTCGTCGTTGGATTGGACAACGCTGGCAAGACAACGACTCTCTACAAATTGCACTTGGGGGAGGTTGTCACTACACACGCCACGGTTGGGAGCAACGTCGAAGAGCTTGTATATAAGAACATTCGGTTTGAGGTGAGCTTACCATCATGATCATTTTTTTTTTTTTGCTGGTGTTATTTTATGTTTTTAACCATAAGCTTCTAGCTGTTGAATCGCTCATAGTTATGCTACACGTCTGAAGAAGAATATATAATATAGCTTATGCCACTCTGATTGATTTCTACTACTTGGACGCTGTAAAATTATGAGTTTGTGATACGGATGGGTGTTGAGGCGAGATTCAGTGAAGTGTATTTCTCCGCATGTCAACTTATCACAATTTGATATCTTTTCATCTCAAAGTAGACAACAAATTTGGGCAATATCACTGAATTGATTGGGAACGTCTCAGCCAGGTCACAACCAAAGTGAACTACAAACTTTTTGCTTGTATTTAGCTCTGGTGTACATAAAGAGAAATTCTCAACTTAATGCCATTGGCGTGTGATTAATTTGGACAAACCAATCTTATTTGTTACTTATCAAAGCCTCAAAGGTTGATTATAAGCATCCTTCTCAATCACTTCCTAAATCCATGCTCATCATTCAGTCTTTTCCTTCATCCCCTCAACCCATCCTATTAGCCTTTGATAAAGGCAAAGAAACAGAGGAAATAAAAGTTTCCCCAGTTTGTGTCCCACCTTTCCCTTTTGGCCCCAACACAATATGTTAAGGTTAAACCTTTATGGTCTTGTACACTGCTACATATGCACCACTCGTGGCCCTAGTGAATCTTAATTGTGGGAAGCCTGATAATCACGTCATTTAGAAAAGAAATACAAATGAACTATTGATCTTCTTGGTTGTTAGCATAGTTGTGGTCCCAAAAGGAACCTACTCGCTCATGTACCCACTTTTCTTATGGGAAAATTTATCCCAAAGTTTCTTGCAATATGTCCAAATAATCCCTTCTTTCAGGCACTTTCAAATAAAAAAATATTGAAATTTTGGATGGCTAATGTGACCAAAGGGGCCTTCCATCCAAGTTACCACAAAGAGTAGCTTATTACATACTACTTTACAACTTCATCCAATAAAACCATGTGTTCCAAAGTTCTTAAGAATCTTTTTTTAGAATCTTTTTGCTCCAGGTCTTCGTCATGGATACAAAAGCTTCCTCTACGGCTCTACCATACACATGTTTCTCTATTTGCATCATTCTAAAGTTCTCTACTAATAATGTTGAAACTTTCAAGAGCATCTTTCAGACCCTAGGAACCTGGGTCATAGATTTTCTTTTTTATATGGAGATTTATTTCTGAAGCTGTACTTTTAGAAAACTCTAAACTGAAAGCTTTTATTTTTGAGAAAGACAAAGTAATTTATTGAAATTCACCACCATACACGTGTACAAAATAGGCCATGTACAGTTAGTAATACATGTTTAGACTAGGGATGTACACTGGTCACAAAACACCATAGCTATATTCATCAGGAAGAAAAAAGCACAGTTATCAGGTAGGTAAGTTTCTATTACAAAAGTGGTGCCTGTCTCAAGAAAAATATGGTGGTGACATGTGCTGGAAGTAAAGAGTGGTGGGCTGCTATAGCTAGCCTGATGAACTTCATCTTGTTTCAACACTTTGTTCTCAAAAAATCTACACAGAAAACATAATTTGATGGTTGGAATTGGATCAATTTATCATGAGTATTTCATTGCCATGATGTTTCTTTTTAAGAGCCTTCATGGAAAATATAACTTCATTATTTGCCAACCCCATATGGTTGGAATAAGGCTTTATTGAGTTAAGTTGGTTAGTTGCTCTCATGTGATAAAATTACCCTTGACCAGATATTCCTTTTAGTCCAAAAGTGTCTTGAGGCAGTTGCTTCTTAATTTCTTTAGATCCATTTTACCCATCATATTTGATTATTTTTATATTTGACTTTCCTCCTAAATTTTTTATTCTAATTTTTCCCTCAAAGTAAATGGTATACTAAATTCTATTTCTTTATCGTTTAATAATATAAATAAATATTATTCATCAAAAAATATAAATAGTTAATTATTCTCCTAAATTATGTATTACAATGCTATTCTCAAAGTACATAGTGTATTGAATCTTATCAATTATGGTTTTCCATTACCTATTAGATTTTGGTACTCTACTCTTCTGCTTTACCTAAGAGATAAATTTTCCAAAAAGAAAAAGGTCGTGATGGTGAAGTTGTGATATAAGGTAAACTTTAGTATAATGTTGTAATTTAAACTGGCATAGTTTATCTGGTTAAATTTTGCTTGGGCCATATATAGATCATCTGCCAGTGCGACTGGACCACTAGCATAAAATCAGGTCAAAGGCTAGAACTTGCTAGAACTTGAAGAGAACAAGTAGAGATGTTTTAAGTAGTTCGTTGGGGGTAAATGTGATGTCATACATGAAGACTTGAAAGGAGATCTTTCCTATGCCGTTTTTCCATTTTAATCTTTCACCTTTTCTTTATAACTGTAAATTTTTTAGGTGGTCTTTATATCAAGCTGCACAGTTGGAATTGGAAATGAACTTTGCACACTCACAAATTATTCTCGATTGAAAGGAGAATATAAAATGATTATCCTTCTACCTAGGGACTCAAATAGTTCAGTCTCACACAGTTGTGTAAAGAAACATAAAGCATGTTACCATGCCCATAAGACAGAATTGTTAAGATTAGTGCAAACATGGCAACATGGATTTTGTTTACTTTTTAGGTTTGTTTACACTTGTAGAGAAGCTTTTTTTCACTAAGCACACTGAGGGAGATTGAAGATATTCCTAAAGGAATTGGGTTTAGTGGATGGAGACTTTCTGGTCTTTATGGTTTTGGGACTAACTATGCATGAAAAGTTTCTTTTATCCTTGTCTTTCTTGTTGTGTGTGTGTTGGGGGGCGGGAGGGGGAGTGGGCTGTTATGTTAATAAGGCTCAACTTGTAGCTGGACTTATTTAACAAAAAAAAAAAAAAAAACCTTGTAGTTGGACTTGGGATGGGATAGGTTTAGAACTGATGGATATTCAGATAGTGGTGTGGATATAATGAAGACAGCTGGTTTTTATTTCTTAGGAAAGTCATATAACATAACTGAGAATAGCAGTAGTAGAGTTGGAAGGAGACTCGGTGGTGGTTATGTGTGGATAGGATCACTAATTTGGCAGTACTTAAGTGTGGATAAGATCATTTGCAAATTGGGCACTTAAAACACCAAATGGGGGAGGCAAGGCATTGGCTGCTAGGATGAACTCATTCAGCTAGTTTTCTGCATCATCCAATATATTACACTAGCAGATGCCCTTGCTTGGGAAGGAGTTGGAATAGATCCTTTGTATTGGGATTTGGACTTATCATTGCTAATCTGAAAGGAATGTTCCCTCCCCACCCCAGCCCGCATTTTGTACTTGGTCAGCATATTTGTGGCTGTATAAGGTCCTTTAGTTTGTATCCGAAGGTGAAAGATTTTTTGTACTTTTTTATCTTGTTATCAAGTTATTCTTGTAAGAGTACTTCTGGGCTAATCATGCTTCATGTAGGGCAAGGATTAAAATATCAATACAATATGCCCTTTTATTGTATCGGGTGTATCATATCTGTATTGGTGCATCTGGATACACATGGATACGCCAATACAAAAGTGTTTTTATCAGAAATGGTAACTTTCATTAGATAAAATTTAATATAATACTGTGTCACCACCCAGGGGTGTTGACCCTTAGAAGAATGTTTTCAAATTACAGAACAGCCCAAAACAAGTTCTCCCTGAAAGTTCCTTGCTTTGTCAGGGTGTCAGCTAGTCCATTTGCTGATCTCCTTGTCCACCTGAACTGTACCCCAACCTCCCTTTCTAAGCAAGTTACAACCCTTATGAGTTGATGATGTACCCAGACCCCCCCAAATTGTGTGACTGCATCCACCCAATACAAAAATGTTTTAAAATATGTAAAAGTTTGGAGGTCTCTTTCCCAACCTCCTAATAATTACAAAATAAAAAAGTAGAGTATCGATCATATTGATATGCACCAATACCCAACTTTGGGTAATTCATCAAAAAATACCCAACTTTGGGTATTGGGACAAGATGTAGGGTTGTTGTTGGCAAGGCTTATGGTATGTGTGATAGGTGTAGAAACTAGTATTTGAATCCAGTTTTTGGGGAGGGGACAATAGAGTTGACACTTAGCACCTATCACTTGCAGAATGGTTAAAGCATGACTGATCAACCAGGCGGCCAAAGGCGGAGAGGGGAGGGAGGTATAGATATAATCTTGAACAGGACATAAGATTAAGCAGGGGGATTTGAGGGGCTATTCTGTAACCTATGATCCTATGATATTTCTTGAATTAGGGGAGGGAGGGAGGTTTAGATATAATCTTGAACAGGACATAAGATTAAGCAGAGAGATTTGAGGGGCTATTCTGTAACCTATGATCCTATGATATTTCTTGAATTAGGCTTGGGAGGGATTAGAGTGGCTGTAGAAGATGCTACTCACTCTTAACATGAGAACTGGGATTGACCAATCCCAAGTTACCTGTTGAGCAAGTAGAAGGTTGAAAATCGGTGTGTGTGACTTGTTATGGACACACCACCGGGCAACCCACTTCGGTGCAGGCATAAGCAGCAGCACGCACCGCCAAGAGCGCCACACAGCAACCCGACACCGCGCACAGCAACACGCAACGCCGGCAGCGCACAGCA